TACGGTAGGCAAGAAAATCATCAAGGGAACCAGTAAGTTTACATGTTTGCCAAAGCTTTGGCTTATGTTGAATTAAATGGATAGTTGAGATGTTAATCCAAGGTTTTAGTCAATTTCTATATAGCTGCTGTTCAGTTGTATGATCAGGAATTGTTGTAATAGCAGTATGAAGAAAAGAGTCCCACATTGACGATGGATCAGAGTGATTATTAGATTGTCAGTTTAACTGGGATAAAACTGAACTTGTGTGAGACATGACAACGAATATAAGATTTTTTTTACCTTTTGCGATTTGATATACTGTTTTAATGTAAAAATTGTATTTGCTTAATTGTTTTGATGTTTATTGTACACGATCTTTACTTTTTACTACTTTTTGTATTTTATTGTAAATGGTTCCACTTTTGACATAAATAAATAAATAAAACTTAATCAAAACAATCAATGAAAAACTGTAATTGTTAAAATAAAGAAGCAATTTTTGAATTTAACTCTGTGTATAGTTCAAGGAAGTTTTGTATTTTCATCATCAGTTGGCGCTACAGCCCTTCGTGAGCCTTGGCCTGCTTCAAAACATTCTTCCATCCTTCCCTATCGAGTGTCTGCCTTCTCCAGCCCCTCACTCCAATCTCCCTCAGATCTTCCTGTACATCGTCCAGATATGAGTTTAGGTCGCCCCCTTCTTCTTCTTCCGACCGGCCTGTTTAGCATAGTTATTTTAGTGGGATCACTCTCATCCATCCGCATAACGTGGCCCACCCACCTTAGGCGGTTTATTTTGATGGTCTTCACAATATCTGCATCACCAAAAAGTCTATAGAGTTCAAAGTTATATCGCCTTCTCCACAGACCCTGTTCGTTTACTCCGCCATATATGGTCCTCAATACGTTTCTTTCAAAGACTCGTAGTAACTCTTCATCTCGGATCGTCATTGCCCATGTTTCCGATCCGTATGTGAGCACTGGGCGTATTATTGTTTTATAAAGTTTGCACTTTGTTGCTATTGACATACTTCTTGCTCTTAGTTGAGGGCCCAGGCCAAAATAACAGCGGTTAGCCACGCATATTCTTTTTTTTATCTCTTTGGATGTGTTATTTTTGTAGTCTACCAGTGATCCTAAGTAGCCGAATTCTTCTACCTTTTCTATCGTTTCGTGTTGCACCTCTGTTATTTTGGTGAATTCTTCATATGGCCGGCATATATTTAGTTTTCTGGATGTTAATCAGAAGTCCGATGTTTTCTGCGGCATTTTTGATACGTGTGAAAGCCTCCACTGCTTCATTTTGGGTTCTAACGCTAGGTTGAACAGCGTGCACGATAGCGCATCTCCCTGGCACAGTCCTCTGTTGGTTTTAAATGGTTTTGAAACATCCCCTTGTATGCGCACTTTACATTCGACTTTCATCATTGTCATTTTAATTAATTCTACCAAACCTTTTGGTATTCCTAATTCGATCATCGCCGAATATAATTGGGACCTGTCAATAGTATTGTACGCTGCCTTAAAGTCTACGAAGATGTAATGGCAGTCTATGTCGTACTCCGTCGTTTTTTCTAATATTTGTCTGATGGATGATATGTGATCAATGGTAGATTTGTTTTTTAAGAAGCCTCTTTGGTAGGATCCTGTTATATTGTCAGTATACCGTGCCAGTCGTTCGTTAAGTATCAGAGACACAATTTTGTATGCTGTATTAAGAAGGGAAATCCCTCTAAAGTTGGAACATTCAAGAATGTTTCCTTTTTTGTGTATGGGGCATATAATTCCAGTATTCCAATCTTCTGGTAACGTGCGTTCTTACCATACCTGCATTAGTAGTTTGTGATGGAGGGTTACAAATGTTTGACCGCCACATTTAAATATTTCTATCTAGAGACTGAATTGCTTTGTTTATTTCTTCCAAAGTTGGTAGTTCAATATCCTCCTGTTCTATTTCTATATTATAAGTTGTGTATTTCGCATGGCTTAAAAAAATTACATGAATATTTAAAGGCATTATAAAGGTGGATGACAAGGGTAACTGTTATTTTTTGAGTAAAAAGTTATTTTTTTCCACTATTTTTTTTTTTATTTATTTAACCTCCTTTAAAATGATTGTTATTACATTAAAGGAGTCCTTCTACTTCTAAAAACTAATAACTATAATAAAAATTAAACCTAGACAGAATAAAACAAGTAAAAAACACTATACATCTAAACTCAATTTTAAGACAACAACTTTTGCAGACTAGAAATTTGTTTCAAAAGCAATTTTTATTTGTTTCAAAGCAGAATTTAAAAAGTCTTTATCACAGTTATTTATCACATGGTTACATTCTTCTAACATCTTATTTGGGGATGAACAATCAGTCATATTATTTGACAACAGTCATTTGTTATTACTTAATTCTTAGATGTATTTTTGGAACATTAAATTTAATACTATTTATAAAAAAGCATTCTTTATATTTAATGTGATTTACAACATGGTAAATAAAAAGGGCTGAACGAAAATTTCTTCTATTATCCAGTGCTGAAATTTAAAATGTTTAAAGTTAACATAGCATTCTAGGAAATCATGTATGGATAGATACCAAACTTTCTGACATAAAGAAACCTCAAGAATCGTTTTTGAACCTTTTCAAACAGATCAATATTGAATTCGGCTTGTGGTGCCCATATAATAGAGGCATACTCCAAATGAGGTCTTACCAGTGCTTTGTATTAAAAAATTTTGAATTACGAATTATGAAGCCAAGAGTTCTATATGCCTTTCCAATGACGATCAGATAATGTTCATTAAATATCAAATTTTGCTGAAACATTACTCCAAGATCTTTGCAAGTGTTCTTTCCTCCAAGTACAGTGCTAGAAATTTTGTATTGGTTTTCCATGTATTGTGTTTTTCGAATGACAGTAAAAACATGACATTTAGAAGTGTTTAGAAACATTTTGTTATCATTGAAACATTAACTTAATTAGTTCCGATTACATTGCAGCATCTCAGAGTCCTGCAGAGTTGAAATTTCTCAAAAAATCTTAAAATCAACTGCTAATAGCAGGCTTGTGGAAAACTTCACAGAGTAAGGCAAATCGTTAATAAATACAGCTAACAGAAGAGGACCAAAATTGCTACCTTGTAGTACACAAGTAGTTTGTGTATTACAGTTTTATTATTTATGGTCCCTGCTGCAAAACTTGTAAAAACACACAAATTTGACACAGTGGATATCTCTGGTAACAAATGATGTTCTGAACAGAACCTATCTCCAAAGTACTTCAAAATTTTGTTATAAAGCACATTCTCTAATATCTTGATGACAGATATAGGCCTATAGTTCTCAGTGTTACCAGCATTACCAGATTTAAATATAGGCGTGATAACTGCATGCTTTAAGCTATCTGGAAATTTACTTTGTTTAAGGGACAAATTAAAAATTAGTGTGAGAGGGACTGAAAGTGTTTCTACACAACCTTTAAAAATGTATGCCGGCATTATGTGTCTCAATATTTTCATTGTGACACCTATATGCTTTCCTACTAGCTGTTTCACCTCTCGCCTCAGTGATTTATATTCAGCCAAAACCAAAGCATTTCCAGATTTATTTACCTGCTTATGAAGACAATTCTTATGTTTAATCTTCTATATAAGTTCCGAAGTAAAGAAAGTAGGATACCTGTTTGTTGTTCTTAATACATTCCTCAACTGTTTTAAATAAACACTTCCTGGTTATTTACATAGTCAAAGAATGGAATGAGCATATCTACAACACACTATATCTCTTCACTACTCCTTGTATGTAATTATTAACATAAACCAAAAATCAGCACATGGAATGAAATTTTGAATAGTAAATTAATGCCAAATTGAAGCACCTGATAAGAAACAGCTGAGCTGATATTATTATGTATCTGGTATGATTAGATATAATAAAAGGTGTTCCACTTTAACATAAAGGGATTGTTTAAATACATAATTGAATAAATTACTGCCTAGTCATTTGTTGATGATTCTTATTAACTTTTATGCATATATTCTCACTATTGTTTTGGTTTTTTATAATGCAATCTAAACATGGAGTGATCTACTGCGTTTAACATTGTAAAAATTGTAAAATCAAAGTCATATAGCAAAGTACATATTATAATAAAGATCTAAAAGTCTGCAAAATACTGTCAAAGGAAAATAAATCAATTATGTGAAGAAATGTAGTAGCCATACCCTGTATACTGTACATAGAACAAACAACAATTCATTGATTTGAAGAAACTATAATTTTTATTGATTTCAGTGAATAAAATTGGCATACTGAACTTGATTTTATACAAAGTATAAATATTTTATGACATATATTGATTGGGACTAATATTAATTGTGTATTTATTCTCCCTTGGTCAATTAAAAATATAAAACTGCTGATTTTTGGCCTATATATCAGTCATTCAGAACAAAAAGCACATGTTAGTGTTAATAAGTTCAACAAAAGATGTTGTTAAAATATAATTAATACTCAAGTTAACTTCACTAATACGAATGAGATAAGTCAAGATTGGTATGTTTAGAAGGTCAAAATGTACCAATTACCTTGAAAAATCTAACCCAATCCAATTAAAATCAAATCGAGAACACAAAAGCTATAAAATACACCATTACAATGTTTTGTTCAAACCCAAGAAAAAAAATATCAGCTAAATCATTAATCTGATAATGAGACCACAATTGATTACAAATCTATTATTTAAATGACTTTATTTAATATTAAGTATTGTATTACGGAGATCAAACAATAAACTACAAAAATCGGGTATTTTGGGATGTTGATTATATATTATACAAATAGCAATTGAACTTGGTACATAACCTTAAGAGTGCCAAATTCACACCTGATTCAATGTCAAAATATTCAGTGGGAGCCGCGTGTCATAGATGAATGTTTGAACTATTGTTAACAACAATATCATGCACGAACAGCAACAAAATACTGTATAACACAAGAAAATAATACATGAATACTGACCTATTGTACTTATTATCAGCCTGATAAAAGACATGAGGATAAACCTGTAGACCAAGGGATCGAAGGTCTCGCTGGTCCCCGTCGTCGTAACATTATTGTATTTGTATTGTTGCTTAGATGCTAATAATTCTTCACTTTGCTGCAAATCCTGATCTGACAGCTCCACTATGCCAAGAAGTCCAACTCTAAGTATCTCGTCAATCACAAACAACGGGGGCACTCTCAAAACCACTTCCACAAATCCTAATACTCTTCCACGGAACGACATTTCATTGCAATAAAAACACCAAAAATTTACTTTTAAAAATTCGTAATATGTATTTTTATTGTGGGCCCTCTCAAACTGACAAACGTCATTGACGACACTTGTGCGGAATGAAAAAATGACAGCTGACAAGCGCGTGCAATAGTTGCCTATTATATTTTAAATCACTTTCTTCAATAAATATAACGTTTATAGTTTTATCAATTATATAATTTTGTACTGTACATTTTTATTAAAAAAAAAAATGATGAAGACTAATTCGTTAAAAATATAACAAGGTATGTATTTAAGTATTTTTACAGGCGTCATCTGTTGTGTAGTAAAACGTTTTGTAACCTCTGTTCTAATGCTGTCGATAACGTAGATTCCTGTAAAAAGCAGGTATCTTTAAGCCTTAAAACTGTCAGTATTTTGATTGGATATACTAAAGATGGCGCCCTAAGTTCAATTTCAGTAAAAATGAAATATTTTGATGCTACTGAAGGCATTGTAAAAAATTGCAATTCTATTCTTACTTTTTTGTGTTCGATATTGCACTGAAGATAACAAAAAATTGTTGTTTTCTCAAGACATATTTCATTCTCCTTCGTGGGTATTTGTACGTAAACGTGATTTTAAAACAAATAATGCCAGTTTAGTGTAAAAAGAGCAAATTAATGTGAACCAAAAATGAACTGAAAGATGTAACTTGTTTTAGAAGATTTCAAAGGTATGTATGTTCTAGTTTTCAGTTGTTTCTATCACCACTTAAGATCATTTCCTAGTCTTTATTATCTATGTTTCTTTCATCAAATTTGTTCTGTTTTGTAATAGTTTTTATGTAAAAAATTTGATACAAATGTTTTATATATACACACTTTCGTCGTCATTAAAATAATTTTACTATTAAAAGTACCCCGTAAGTTTACTTTCGTATTTTTAGTTGTTTCTGAGCGAAAGTCATCCGTCAATCTCATATTTATTGGATGTTTTCACACAAACAGACACCTCGTAATATATTTACTCGGGAAAAGCATAACTAATGTGGCTTTTTGGTGTGACAGCTCTTAAATATGAAAAATGGTGGCAACTACTATAAAAAACACATCATTTTACATCTTAAAAGACGATTAAACGAGAGTGGTTTGCATGTTGGTATGTCTCTAAAAATATTCCGGAATGGAAGCGCGCCACATGTGGCTCAGAAAGAGAAGACACTAATATGCCAACGCTTTTAGATCATTAGTGAGTCTTTAGCTAATAGCGTAACACCGCGCCACGTCAAAATAACGAATTAATCAGTCCAAACAGTAATCGTTGTTTTTCTTTAAGAAAATAGTTCATTTGAAGGTATTCTGTAACAATATATAGGGGAACCCGGGGTGGAACGGGGTACCTAAGTTTGATAGTAATTTTTGCGATATTTAATGAAACTACACCATCATTTGACAAATCTTATGTTTATTTATTTATTTCTTTACAAGGAAAATATAGCTAAAGTTATAAAAAACAAACGTTTCTGAGAAAAATGTGCCATACAAAAATAAAGAGAAATTTCAAATTCTACCTCACCCCCGGGACACAATGGGATGCCCCATACTATACAAGAACAAGACAAGACTAGACAAGAACGCTTTCATTATCGTTACTATCTAAACCAGCACATGCTAGATGTGCCATTTCTTACAAATGCTACAAGAACACCTGCCTTCATTGGACTTAGAGTAGTAATCATGGCAATACAAGCAGGTCGTATCTTCTCCTTCTGCGCTATCTTCGGATTCAGTTTCAGATATTTTTTGTTTTTTTTTGTCTTAGTTTTAACCTGTTTGTTCTTATTTTCTTTCCGTTTTCGTTGAGTTTCAGTTTCTCTGGGTTTGTTTCCATCATTTTTAAACATTAATCTCTGTTTATTTTTTCTCTTTAGCTTCCTTTATAGCTTGCATCTTGTTTATGTTACATGTAATAAAACAAGTATAGATGACTGTAGTTGTATTACTTTATTTCGTTATATTATCAGAACGTTACATATTATTATTCCCAGGTTATATCCTTGCACCTAGCCTCATAGCATGTGGAGTGACGTTGTCAAGGAAGGCGGATGTCCCCGTTGACACTGACAGACACACACTGTTCCCAACCTTCTTATTAAAGGTCACTTCACATGCTTACATGTGACATCTTCCCCTTTACTCCTTTTAACAAACATAATCCCTAAACCTGGAAGGTCTTTTTACCCTCCTACCAGAGCGTGTTACAACGTTATTATGTTCACTATTACTATTATTTTGAATAGTTTCCTTACTAGTTGAAGGAACTGTATCAGAACTTGGCAAAACATCAGTTTCTTCAAAAGGCACGTTGTATGACGTGTTTTGAACATATTTGTTAGGACAACGTCTAATAAAAGATGAATTCCTCCTGTAACTATTACCAAAATTATCTTTTACCCAATAAGATCTTGGACTATTAGTAATACTAACAATTTCACCTGGTACCCATATTATATCTTTTCTTAATATTATGCTTTCACCTACTTTAAACTCACTTCTAACCCGAGAATGTTTATTATAATACTTAATACTTCTACTCCTCTGTTCTCTTAATCTATTTCAACTATGGGTTTTTTAGATAGAACTTTTTGAGATACCGGAATAGCTTTCATAAGAACCCTGTTGTTGAGAAGTTCAGATGGGGATAATCCAATTCCTGTTAAAGGAGTTGTTCTGTACTCCATTAATACATTTACAACCACCTCGAACTTTTTTTTGTCTTCCTCACTTAAACTGAAATTTTTAAATTTCTTCTGAGCTTCTTGACCAGCAATGTTTAACAAGATAGCCACCTTAACCTCATCGTCTTTCTTGTCCAGCCCGTAGCTTTTAAATATATTTTCTAAGCCTTCCAGGAAAGTCGTTAAATTACTGTGGACATCCTGGTTGAATACTAGGGCCTTGGGTGCTGTAAATATTGCCTCCATTTTGTACAAACTTCAGTTTACTTTCAGCAGTGTAGACTTAATTTCCTTGGTCAAGGTTCTTCTAACTAACCTGACACCATGTTACGTGTAATAAAACAAGTATAGATGACTGTAGTTGTATTACTTTGTTTCGTTATATTATTAGAACGTTACATATTATTATTCCCAGGTTCCATATCCTTGCACCTAGCCTCATAGCATGTGGAGTGACGTTGTCAAGGAAGGCGGATGTCCCCGTTGACACTGACAGACACACACTGTTCCCAACCTTCTTATTAAAGGTCACTTCACATGCTTACATGTGACAGTTTAAAAATTCTTCAGTTCATCCTTATAAGGTGAGGCGGTAAGGACAGCAGTCTTTCCACGCTTTTTTACAGCTCTTTTTGTTCCGGCTTTAACTTTTGGCAACGAAATTAGGTCTCTTGGCGACGCGTGACTGAAAAGTGTGTGTCGCAATCAGCATCAGTACGAACAGGGGAATCGGACATCCAAGAACATCCGGGTTTAGGGACATTCACTGGTGGGGGAAGATTTTCGTCAATTGTCGGTAAGGATGGATTATTTTTGACAGGATTATCAATTACGGGTGTGGATGAATATGGGGTGAGGAGAAATGCATTTGTATTGGTGTAGTTAGCGTTGAGTCAGTTGTCTCAGATGTATGTATTATTTTTTTACTTTATTACAATCATTGTATGTATATTGTATGTATGTATATTCTTCTATTTAACCATAGATAAACAATATAATATTAGAAATAGATAGACAACTCAATGTATAAATTTCGTTCATTAGGACCCCTTGCGGCTGGGGTCATTACTAATCATCTTCTGGAGGGAAATTCAAATGGACAGGGAAATACATTAGCTAGATTATCTTTATCCTGATGGAGGCCCAATAACCGAAGCAAAGAAACAGATTTTTTGGAATTACTTTTATTTATATCTCTAATAAAACATCATGGATTTTACACAAGCACCATAACAATAAGATCAATTATACAGCAAGAAGAAGAGTTCATTAACAATGAAGATTAAGTATTTTTGTTACTTTGTTTTTTAATAAAGCATATTTTCAATATTGATATTTTTTAATTGTATTGTACTCCAGGTCTAATCCACATTTCTATTAAAATTTTTAAGGACACACTGATGCAAAAGCGGTCTAATAAACAAAAAAATCTTAAATTTTTATATTTTTGTTAAATATACTGCAAGATCTTCCAGTTGTTTGTTATTAGTTAATGATTTGTAAACAGTGACTACCTTTTGGCTTCATATTTTAATTTTATAAAATTTCAAAAAAACGCATATATTCTTGGTTCATGTAAATCCATTATTAAAAATTTGGGGTTAGCCCACTCTTGCTCTTATAGCCTCATATTATTTAGTGGAAGAGTTTCTTAACTAATAACTAAGACATTAGAGTAGTAGAGTAGAGTAGAGTATTTATTTAACTACATAACATATACAAATATTGTTTGTAGCAAGTCAAAAAAAAACATACATAGTATTAAATAATAAAACATTAAATAATACAAACATGAAAACATATTAAACAGAAAAATATTTATGGCAATGTTACGGTAAGCAGTTCAGTGGATGTTCTGTAATGAGTCATATATCCTTCTGAGCAGTAAAAACAATGTTTTAAAAGATATTTTTTTATAACTTTATCGAAACTATTACAGCTTAGCTCTTTTATACTTTTTGGTAAAATATTGTAATAGTTATAATTAAGACTATTTTTTTCTGAAAGACTTAATCTACATCGATTTGTTCGTAGGTAGTGACAGTTTCGCGTATTGTGAACATGGACATCAGACTGCTTTATTAAATGGGCACGTTTTCTGTGAATTTGAGTTAAAACTTGAAATATCAACTGAGTAGGTAGCGGCATAATTTTGAATTTGATAAAGAAAGGTTGGCATTGTTCTAGATAACTAACCCCTGCTAAAATCCTGACAGCTTTCTTTTGTATTCTAAAAATTTGAAGTGCATTTGTTGAATTGCCCCATATAATTAAACCATAGTTTAGGTGAGAGTGGAATAAAGAAAAATATGTCATTTTTAATGTTTCAAAGTTGACAACCCTTGCTAGTTGGCGAATAACAAATAATGAACTTGATAGCTGTTTCTTAAGGTGTGAGATATGAGCAGACCAGTTGAGTCGATTATCTATGGTTATTCCCAATAGTTTAACAGTCTCTTTGTTAACTAGTTCATTGTGTAAATTACTTGCAGATATAACCATATTTTGCGTTTTATCAGAGTTAAGTTTTAGTTTGTTTGCAGCAAACCATGAGCTAGATTTAGTAGAAACTTCCTCATGAGACATTTTTAAATCATCATTATTTTTTCCTGATATAACGTATGTCGTATCATCTGCGAATTGTATGGTTTTGTACGGAGATATGAATTTAGGCAGATCGTTGATATAAATAATAAACAAAAGAGGTCCTAAGACCGAACCTTGTGGGACTCCATGTTTTACGGATAGAAAATCAGAGAGATGACCTTTAGACACTACCGCCTGGTGTCTGCCACATAGATAAGAAATTATAAGCTTAAGAGGGATACCTCTGATTTTATAGTAATTTAATTTGTGGAGCAAAATGTCGTGTAAAACGCAGTCAAAAGCCTTTGATAAGTCACAAAGAGAAATTGCTATGCGATTGCCGCGTTCAAGCCCCTCAATCACCTCGCACACAACATTAAATACCGCGTTCGTAGTAGAACGAGCACTTCTAAATCCATATTGTGAGTTGCTAAAGTAATTATTTGACTCAAAATAGGAATAAAATTGTTGTTTGATAACCTTTTCAATCACTTTCCCAAAAGTAGAAACAATGCTTATGGGTCTGAAATTGTCAGTTTTTGAGGAATCACCTTTTTTGTAGATTGGTAGTACTTTTGAGTATTTTAGTACTTCTGTAAATACTCCAGTGGATAGAATTAAATTAATAAGATGAGTAAAAGGTGTTAAAACTATTTGGTAAGTTTCTTTTAAAATTTTGCTATTAATCTCGCGAACGTCCCTACAATTAGAATTACTAAGCGACTTTATTATTTGAGAGACCTCTTCTTCCAGAACGGGCCGAAAAAAAAAAATGACTTGCTTGGAGAAGGATAATTTCTATAATTGACGAGGACATCGACGTTAATAGTGGGAAGAGATGTAATTATATTCTCTGCAATTGTACTAAAAAATTGATTCATTTCGTCTGGAGGTAGATCAGGTTGTACCGAACTGGATATAGTGTAGTTTCTTTTGAAATTTACTATTTTCCAGCAGTCTCTAGGTTTATTATTGGAATTAGTAATAAAATTACAGTAAGCTGACTTTTTAGCAATTTTTAATTGCCGATTATATTCAACTTTTTGTTGTTTATATACTTTGAACAAATCGGGATCCTTAGTGGCCTCTGCAATGTGTTTGATAAGAGAAATATTGGATCTGTTAGACCTTAATTCATTATTAAACCATTGCACAGGTGTTTTTTCAGTAATTTGTCGTACTTTTTTTAGTGGAAAATACTGTAATATTAAATGGTTATAAGTTTCGGTAAGAAAGACTGTCAAAGAATCAGGATCATTATTAATATTGTAGAAAAAGTCCATGTTTGTAATAGCTAGCGCACGTTTAAGTTTCTGTAAACCAAAAGAAGTAATAAACCATTGAAATGTTTGATTAGTGTCAATAACTTTATGCTCTGAGTCAATAAATAAAAATTGAGCTCGATGGTCAGAAAAACAAGGTTCAAATACGCCCACTCTATAGATATTTTCAGAAAAAATTGTCATAATGTTGTCAATGCAACTTCTGGACTGGGATGTGATTCTAGTATAATCGTTTATAGTTATTTCTAGACCAAAAGATGTTAATAGATTTTGAATATCAAAAAAGTATCGTTCAGGCACAAGTAACTAAAGTATTTTTATATATATTTGGGTATCACATGCAGCAATTATGGTTAAAATTTTGCAATGGATTGTGTATTTTATTATATGTATTTAATTTTGTGATATTGACGATTTATATAATTTTAGTAAATTTTAAATTGTTATTGTTATTTTATCTGACTTTTTGTACGCTTTGTCCATAAAATTTTATAAGTTTCAGTGTTACTAAAGCATATTCTATTTATATATATTCTATTTTTTCTAAACTTCATAAATGCACTCTCTGCAACCCAAAATAGGAACGTTTGTAAAAAGATCAATATGGTAATTGGAAGAACCCCAATTTTTATAATAACTATGCATTTGATAATATGTGTGCATATAACCAATTCTTGAATTATTTGTTTCCCACTGTTATTGTCCCACTTTGTTTCCACCGGTAATTCTTTCACTGTTTCACGTTTTAACGCAAAACGACTAACCATTTATTAATGACAACCATAAAGCAAACAAATAACTGTAGCTTGTTAGTTAAGATCGATCTGCGATTTTAATTATTGCCATCCATCACTCAAGGAAACATAAATTCAGTCGAAGGTTATCTGCTTGTACTCGATAATTGAGATGTACTTTCAGTGATAGGTTGGTATTCTTTCTTTCTTGGAGTATGTCTTGTAAATTAAGGTTTGGTGAAACACAGGCAGTTTTTATATTGTTTCAACAAAGCTGGGTCAGATAGAACAATAAATCCAAGGTAGACGGTACGCTTTTCTTCCAGGGAACACAAAAATATATTTATGCGACATAAACATTATTATAAAATTATCAATAAACTCGAACATCGAAGTAAAACACTTCTGTTGTAATTGGTCAATAAAAAAAAGAATATCAGTCAATAAAAGATTAGATTCGTAACCACTGTCAAAAATAAATACATCGAATTAATAACAATATTGAATCATCTGTTTAAATTTTTGTAACACTTCTCCTTGTAAAATAATTTTATATAAATATAATTATTATTTATAATTATCTTATCTAGTTTATATCTTCTTCTTCTAGTGTAAAGATTTTAT